AGCTCCATTTCATTCAATCTCTACTCATATGAAATGCATACTTCCACAAAATGGTCATCACTGAAATTCCATGCTTTCAAGTATATTGCTTCAGTAATTGACCGTCCTCTTTTAAACGTGTACGTCACAAATGAGAAATTCGCTGAATTGTTTAAATTGTTAAAATTGTTTAAAATTGAATTGTTAAATTGAACTGTTAAAATTGTTTAAAATGTTTTGTTTTGTTGATTTTTATGTTGAAAACATTCGAAATCGATACGATGTTTTCCTCCGAAAAAATTCCAGGAATACTACAGCTGACATTAGGATTGATATTCTTCATCACATGCTCTGTGACGTCAACGGCTGTTCGACACCACAAGGAATTGGGTCTTAAAATCCTTTGCAGTCTTATTGGAACTTTTCTATACTTATGTCTTGTTTTGATTACCGTAATCGTTGGTATTATAGGTAAGGTTCCACTTGAATTTGTATTCTTATTCATCATTTCTTTTTATGATTTGATTTCAATTCAGTTGCACTGTACCTCAACTTAAATCCATAGGATTCCTAAGTGATTTAATCGAATTTCTGTTTATAAAAAGTTGTCAGTTCATTGATCACTGAAAAAATGGCTGATTGTTTGCGTGAATCTCTAGAATTTTTCGATTGCAGTCGCCTCCTATGATCAGAAGTAGGTAATATAACATCGAAAAGTAAATCAGTTTTGACAATGAAACATTCCATAATCTTTTGATACCTATCTTGGGATCAAAATAAATCACAGAACATTTAACATTATCGTTTAAAAATTCACAAAACGTTAGGGAAATAATGAGAATCCTGCGTATATATTCTTGAATATTAAAGGTGTAATATTCAAAAACAAAAATTTCTGTTCATTTTGCATTTTCAAGACGAGCACCAGTGAGAGGTTCATCAAAACAAATAAGTGAATGTAACTGTTGCCAGTAATAATTAAACTTAAACCTTGTACTACTCGTACTGGTACATTTATGATGTTACACCGAAATAGTGATCAAAGCAAATAAGTGATTAATAATGTTCATCAAGAAATAAGTGATAATGTTCATTGCTACATTGATAATGTTCATCAAAACAAATAAGTGTATGTAACTGTTGGCAGTAATAATTAAACTTAAACCTTGTACTATTCTTATTGGTAAATTGATCATTAGTGGCATCGTTATTCCTGATAAATCAACTCTTGAATAAATTTTTTTTCAGGCTTTTATAGGGTGATGCAAATGTACAGTCGAGTGGATTATGTTGATCGGTCAGTAGCGATGTACGTTGATCAGAATTTATATCGCGCTGCATTGACCGTATTCACATTTCACATTTGGTTTTCTGTTTCGAAATGTTGTTGCTGTAGATAATCACACGTGTTCATTGTGCATCCTGATACGACCACTTCAAATGTTCAACTTTTTATTCTGCTCCCAAATGAGGACGACGCTTTTGCTAGGGCGGGCATTCAGTGGAAGAATGGCAGTAGCAAAACAAGTATGCGGAGAGCAACTAAAAGAAATTCCATGTTCGGCACTGAACTTTTCATTCACTCGGGCATCGAAAAAGTCGACATGGGAAGAAGAAGACTGTACTCAAACTCTCACACATTCATCAGTTCACTTATTCTCGGAGTTTTAGTCATCGACTACCAGCATCCCCTTTATTACCTGAAAATCATGACAAAAACCATATAAATACCAGTGATTGTATTACTGAATTGAGGCTAAAACAATATGCACGGAAACGCGA